TTTTTGACCAACCATCTGACACTTAAGGGTGGTAATAACCATCATAACTTCAGTAGGTTTGTTTGAAAAACAACGGTTGGCACAACAGGAAGCAGGCTTGTTTTAGATAGTGAATCTAAGGTGGAATATAACCCCTACTTGGCTAAATTGACTACAACTACAGTAGGTCGATTGTGACTCTTGGGTTTCCAAGGCACATTTCTATCCATTTATAACTGGGGGGTCTAAAGCCAACCTCATAACTGGAGAGGTGCCACTTGGATCCACTTGGTATATTTTGGTATGGTATAATTTGGGGGTCGCTTGGCGAGGAATTGAAAGTGATCCTGGGGTCACCAACATGGCAATTGCACGTAACTAGCTGGTAAATTAACATATCGATGGTAGACTGTGGCAGCCATGGCCCATTTAGTTCCATGATTTAGCAATGAAAAATGATTATTTTTCATCGCAAATTGTAACAAAATTGCCGGGTAAAGCCGGACCTCCCAGTTTCCAACCATGGATTCGATGGAACCCAGCCATGAAGAAAACCACTTACCGCGCTACCTTTTTCATCCGATTCCTGGAATAATCCTCCAGGAACCGTCCAATCAAGTTGGGCACTTGCCATTTCAACAACGTCGCCATGCTGAGAGGACGCGTCAAGGCGCGCGCGTGAGTGACCCAAGGGACAGCCACTGTTAAACTGCAATTTCTGTATTGCGTTGAGTGCTGCCCCTAAAGTGAGCTATGGAAGGGTAGCACTTGGAATTCTCGGTGCTGAAGAACATTCCCAGCGTGGACAGCAACTGAAATCATGACTGGGCGGTACTTTCCAATTACGTCGAGTCCTTCGCGCCATTTCAGCAGAGGAGCAACACACCGAATTCGTCATACTAGTAGTTACACGTATATATATACATATATATATATATATGTATATATATATAATATACATTATATTATAAATAAATATTAAATTTACACATACATGTATATAGTTATGTAGTTGTTTTTTTGGGAATATGATGGTTTTTCGGGGGGCCTACGGTGCCAGGCTTGATAAAGAACATGTAGCTGGTAGTTTGAAATCGTTTGAGTGGTGCATCTTCGTGTTTGGATGACAAAACAGTTTTTTTGAGATCAGTGGCCGAACCACACACCAGGAACTAACTAGCAGCCTCGACCACCGCCCAAAGGCTCAAGCCCTGTGTGTTTTCCCCCTGGGGTGTGGCCGGGCCCCGGTTGGGGCGGCGGCTCCCGCTGGGCTGCCAGCCGTAGCTAGCCGCGCCTGGCAAGATCGCCGCAATGTGGGCGATGATTTGAGGTCTTTGAATGGTGGCAACTTCTGAAGGCGGGGTGCTTGGGGTGCTTGGGATGCTGTGATGGAGGGGGCTGGCATACTCAGAAATCTCAGAAAACCACCGTAATTCGCACGATAACATTTTGGAGGGGTTGGTGAATTTGACCTAGATGGTGTAATGTCCCATGTGGTTGAGTCTGGTGTTGTTTTTTTTCAAGTGCATTGGGCCATCACTCTTCGTAGGGTATCCTCATTAAGGTTGATTCATCAAGAATGAGCATTAATCAAGAATGTGGTACAGTAACATCCCCCAAATCACCATAAAGAGGTGGTAAACCATTCCCAGATGGCTAGTTTGGTATTGTTTTAACCACATTGGTATCGTAATGACTCTGTCTCAATGAGCCCAGCCCAATGAGCCCAATCTCATCCTCCGGCTGCAGATTTTGGACAGTTTCTGGTGGGGCACTGGTTGGACTCCCTGGGTCATTCCATCATCGTGGCTCCTGGCGAGCGCTTGGAGCGCGCTGAGCGTGTTGAGAACGCTGAGGTGCCCGAGGTGGGGATGGATCATGGGACCAACATGGGGCTATTTATCAGGGAGATGGGATTGTGCCCGAGGTGGGGATGGATCATGGGACCAACATGGGGCTATTTATCAGGGAGATGGGATTGTACCATAGTGGGATGGATGGATGGATGGATGGATGGATGGATAGATAGATATATATATATACATATATATATTTATAATTATACATTTTACTTATAATATAGTGCATATAGTATTATATGTTAAATATATTATATGATTAATATTATATATATATATATAAATAATAGGAGAGTGAAGATCCAGCCAGCCATTTAAGGGACCGCCAGGTGACCAATGGGAACCATGAAGGCGCCTTCACTGCAGTCTTGACGCCTATTGTAGACCATCCCAACGCCAAAGACAGAGCCTGGGATGCCTTGGAATTCTGTGAGGGGTTGAGATTGAGGGGAAAACAGCACTTCTTGGGTGTGACCTTGTGATGGCTCTTTGCGCTGTTTGAACATCATGGATCGCAAGGGCAGGCTGGACAGCTGACTTCCCACACTTCATTTAGTTGAACATGGGCCTTATCAAGTTATCAAGCATCCAAAAAATTGATGATGCGGTGGGTCATCCATCGAGAGCAGAAGGGGACTTGGATGAGATTGCTCACTGAGGAGTGTTGAACATCAAAAACATTGGCCGGCGCTGGCAGTGCGGCAACGTGAGCCTAGAGCCACTTGTATTGTAAGGCCCACGAAAGGAGGAGTGAACCTGTCCGTTGGCTTCCATCCCAGTTTTAGGTTCATGATTTTTAGATGGTGAACTCTCAATTCATTTAACCAGCGGTGGTGTAAATCCAACATTTCCTTGGTCAAATCACCATTTTGGTACCTCAAATCCAAAATCTCCATGGTAAAACCCGCATCGTCCTGGCTTTTTTGGTGGCTTAAATCAATATTTGAAGACCTCCGAAGTTTTTCGGATCCGCCACTTCCGCAACTTCCGTTGGGAACGGTGCTTGGGCGCCCCCAGCCCCAGCTGCCGCTCCGGCCTGAGGTTCGTGGACGAGCGGCGCCAGCGTTTGGTTTGGGTCACCTCGGATGGGCGCCGCAGCATTTGGTCCAAACCTGGGACGGTGGTGGAGAGGTGCGGACTCGCCGGAGGGGGATGGCAGTTCCAATGAGTTCCATCATTCACCAGCAAGAATCATTCAAAGCAAGAAATTAAACGGTTCGAAATGATGGTAAAACCATGGTATGTTTTTTGTTGGTGGAAAGACGTGATAAGATGGGAATAGATTGACATATGACTGATGGATATTGTACAAGTAGAACCCGTGCGAGGCGGGTGGCGGAAGTTTCCAGCAGGATGGACTGTTACACCGTAGGGTCCAAAGACAAAATTTGCCTAGAGGAACTGGAGTGAAGCCTCGCATCTTCTCAACTCTGTTCTGTGAATTCGTCCTCATCTTGCCTCGCCCCTGTTCAACTGTGACCACCACTTCTCAGCTCTTCGCAGCTCTTCTCAGACCATCTCAGCTCTTCTCAATTCTTACAACTCTTTTCTACAGCGCTCAAAGTTTTTTCATCTCTTCCCACCTCAGCTCAACTCTTTTCACCTCTTCCCCGCTCTTTTCAACTCTTCTCGACGACCCTCACCTCTGCCCACCTCTTCTCAACTCTTCTCAACTCATCTCAGCTCTTCTCACCTCTTGCCACCTCTTCTCAACTCTTCCCACCTCTTCTCACCTTCCCTCAAATCATCTCACCTCTTTCTCACCTCTTGTAAACTCTTCCCAACTCTTGCCAACTCTTCTCACCTCTTTTCACAGTGATGCCTTAGACAAGGAAACTTTTACACACAGAAGCTTTTACACAGAGCACGAGCATTCATACAGAGAAGTTCTTACACAGAGCAAGCTTTTACACAGAGAAGCTTTCACACAGATAACCTGCTACACACAGGGTTTGCCAAAATGGAGAAAAATCAGCTGCCAAAGCACCATTCGCAACCTTCATGCAGCCACTGCAGTACGATTTACGACTCTCAGCTGCAAAAGGCAATAGTATTCCGCACGCAGCCGCAACAGCGAGGAACCTTGACGCAGCCATTCCACTGCGATCTGCAGACACGAGCTTGCAAAACACAATGGCACAGCGTCAAGAAAAAAGAGAGAAAGCACTTTGAACCCGCAGTTACATCGCGCGCGCAAAGCGAACAGGAATCGGCGGCGAAGCGACGACGGCAGCACCCGTCGCGCACGCGAGCCAACTTTTCTCTGCAACGGAACCTGCGCTGACCTGAAAAAAACACAATGCTTCGTGCAAATCCTAACATTCAAATCGCATCCATGATGTAGCCATTCCAATGCGATCTGCCAACAGCGACGCGCAAAACACAATCACAATCGCAACACAGTACTGAAAAAACAAGTACCCCTCGAGAAGCCTTCGCACAGCCATGCCACTGCAATCTGCATAGACTGAATTGCACAACACAATAGCACAGCGTCGACAAAGAAGAGAAAAAGTCGGCTTGAACCCTCAGTTACACTGCGCACGAAAATTCAACAGGAACCGGCGGCAAAGCGACGACGCCCGCACACGGAACCTCCGTTCACCAGACAAAACACAATGTTTCGTGCAAATCCTAACCTTCAAATCGCATCCATGATGTATCTGTTCCAACGCGACCTGCCAACACGGACTTGCAAGACGCAAGCAGGATCGCAACTTCTCTCCTCTACTCGTCTCTCTACTGTACTCTTCTCGACTCTACGCTAGCCTACCTCTACCCCTACTCTACCTCTACTCTACCTCTACCTCTGTCTCTGCCTCTACCCCTACTCTACTTCTATTTGACTCTGCTCTACTCTTCTCTGTTCTACGCTGCTCTACTTTTCTCTACTCTACTCTTCTATACTCTACTCTGCCTCTTCTCTACTTCACGCAGGTGCCAACTGGACACAGTGACCTTTGGGCTAGTGAGAATGTGAGTTGGTGATCTCTTAAGGCACATGCCAACTGGACACAATGATGTTGTGCTAGTGAGAATGTGAAAGTCCGCAACTCGGAGTTTCTCTACGAAACTTCCTTTGATAAGGGTTATCATTTGATGGTTATAACAGAATTGTTGTTCATGGTTATCAATGGTTTATTGTATATACCAGTAGTACCG